TCCTGCCAAGGAGATCCCTGAGGAGGCCCAACTTCGGGCAGTGTCGTGCAGACTCAGTTGCTCCTACAAAAGCATCCACTTCAAGAAGATTCTGCAGCATATTTAAACATGTTTAGAAAAAGTATTACCTTAGCTAACAGTGTCTTGCCACATCCAGGCGGCCCTGCAAGCAAGACACCAGCTGGAGTAGTCAAACCCAGAGCTTTAAACTGCTCTGGGTTTCGCACAGGTGCCTAAAAAAGAAATTATCGTTGTTATCTGTGACAAAAAACAAACATGAAACTTTTCAGTTACAGTTGGATGAAAAATCATTCCTAAGCAAGTTCTTTATTCCAATTCTTTACAGGCTAAAAGAATAAACAGTCGATCAATATCTTCTTATCTTGCCCTGCTAAGTACCCCAAAATGGGAGAACTACCACCATTCAGAGGCAAAGTAGTCTCCACTGTGGTAGTTGTGTGAGGTTATTGCTACAGAACTTTTACAATATTTTAGATCCAGCAGTAATGAACACATTTAAAACTGAAAGCATGAATACAGTAAAGAAAAAATTAAATACAAGTACCAGACTTATAACAATCTTGAAAGCAAATTATAGAAGTCTGACTATTTTAAATGAAGATGTTGCAAAATTTATATTTTGCAGCATGTTTGAACTCACAGGCAGTACATTACACCTTGAATAAATATTAAAAAAATCCAACAAGCATAGGTTTATTTCTTGTATAGGGGCAAGTCCAAAAAGCCTTTGAAAGTAAGGTTAATATGTACCAATATTGCCATAGTCAGCTCCTCTCGAACATCCTCCAGGGCTCCAATATCTGCCCACGTCACGTCAGGAATTGTGACAAAGCCTTCTCTCTTGGCAGAGGGCTGCACCGATGACAGCGCAACAATGAAATCATTCATCTCAATGCACAGCTTCTGCAGCTGCTCCTCAGGCAAGGGGTCTTGCTTCTTCAGCAAATCCAAAAGTCTCCATAACTCATCCTTAGGGTGCGTAGAAAGGGAGAGAAAAAGATTATGCACTAGATTAGATTTTAAGAACAATTTATTGAGGGGTTTTTCAAAGCAATACTTCAAAGCAATACTTCAACTGTTATGTTAGCTACTACAAAGCAATAAACCACGTAAAATAATATTAAAAATTAACATTCATTATAGAAATGTTGCAGGAAAAAAATTTAACACTTGTGAAAGCACTGAGCTAACAGACTACAATCTTGATTTAGATACTGCAGAAACAGAGGTAACACATTTATTTTGTCTTCAAATTCTTCTACTGCTTCTCCCACACTGATTAGAAGTCCTTTTCATGCATAAATTTCAAAAATGTGTATTAATTATTATGTGTTAGTTCTGTTTTTAACTGCTCAAGAGAAAGTAAACAACTCTGCTGAAAAGTAGGACTTCAACAATTTGCAAAACATTGTTACATATAAACCTTTAAAACTCTCAACATAATTTTAGATTGTACACTTTTAATTAACATAATCTGATTTCAATTTCCTCAGGCTGATTAGACCTAGTTTTGTAACTAGGCCCTGATAAAGTCTGGGCAAACAGAATAGAGAGACAGGGTGATGTTTTTCAATACTATCCCATCTTGCAGACCACAGTGCCTCAAGTGCGTACATTCCAATTTTCTCAATCAGTTCCTTGCTGGAGAAACTATCTGAGAAAATACTCGATCAAAGAACCTTTTACCTTCACAGAATAAATACATCCCAGTTCTAATACGGAAACTCAGTTGTCAAAGCACCACAAGTAAAACTATACTAGGATTTTCATTATAAGATGGAGACAAAAAACTAATTCTAAAAACTTTGTTAAGCTTCCACATTTTTCCTACAACTGTTATGTGGGAAAAGTATCGTTTCCAATCTGTTTCTACTAAGATAGTTTTGGAAATGACCACAAACAAATAGTAGTTTTTACAGTGCCTGATACTCCTTTCAAATCCTCCCTCCTCTCTTTAACAGAACCATTAAGAGAAGCTCTGAAATAGACGAGACCACTGGGTTTGTTTACTTGAATTGTGTGAATGATTTTTAAAGGTTTTGTATGTTTATTTTTCCATTATAAACATAATACAAGGGTTTTAATGACAATACCCTGTATTAGACTGTGTCAACCTCCTGCCAGCTATCAAAACACAGCTCTGTTAGGATTAGACTTCCTCATCCTCAATAACCCCTTTGATCGTGGTGATGTTGATAAAAGCCACAACTACCTGCCCCTCCCCGCTTTCTCTTGGCTACATGAGGCCCCAGGAAACACCGGGAGGTATGCCGTAGGATTATGTTACTCTAACACAAAGGCTTACTACAGCTTTTTACGCTGTTTTTTGTTAATTACGAAAACAGTTTTCTTTGACAGTCCTTCTAAAACCAGAATCTGAGTACTACGCGGATTTAAAAACACTTTGTTTTACTTCTCCAGACAAATCTTTAGGAAACTTACACATAATGAAGGCACATACACCCTTTGAATTTTGAGAAGCAGGGCCAAGATTTTCTATACAAAGATGTTCTGGTTCACTGACCACAGCACTTTACTTGGGCCATAGAATAATTCAGATGCTGAAAACACTCTTTTCTGCAACAGAGTTACAGCTGAACTGCACATTAACAGATACTTTCTCTGCAGCTCAAGTGCCACCGCTAATCCAACTTTTCTACTGGATAGGTACCTCTTCCTCAAACTTGCTAGAGACACTAGACACCACGTGTGATATACCCCAAGCAATCCAATAGCTGGGGGGAAAATGTAGGCCGGATGAATACTTTAGACTTGGGCTAACTGTAACAACACCAGCTCAGGAAAGAGCCCCAGGCATCATAATAAGATATTTCACTAAGTGCACAGCAAGAAGCTTGCTGAAAACTCAGTGAAACTCTGAGATTCTTAAAGTTCTCTTACAGTCTTATTTTTGAAGAGAGATACAGCCATTATTTTAATCTCTGGGCTGCTAGAAGACAAAACAACACAACAAAAAAGCCAAGGAAAAAAACCCCACACCTTGTATAAAACATTAACACAATATTTAGAAAGTGTGGGTTTTGGGAGCCACTTATTTAGACTCATTAAATGGGTCATTAGGAAATAAGCTTCTGGCTTGAGAGCTGATATTTCTAAATCTACATTTAATTAATTACAAGGGCCATGGATGTTTAAGGATTTATGAGCAATGACTTTCACAACTGTAAAATGGCTCAATTCTTAAGATATTAGAGGCACATGCCTCAAGGAACAAATACCTTAGGAGGAACTTCCAGTTGTATGGTATCCTCTTCCACCAGGATGTCTGCTCCTACTCCCATGTCTTCTCCAGCTGTGTTTCCTCCAGCGTGTATGTGCTTCCTTTTCTGCTTCTCAGACTTTATCAGGACCCTGTTCACTGTGCACATAGCTGCCTCACGACAAAGTGCCATTAGATCAGCACCTACATAACCCGGAGTCAGTCGTGCTAAATGGTGAAATTCAAAGGACTCCGGAAGCTTAAGTTTTCGACACAAAGTCCGAAGAATTCTGATCAAGTAGGGAGAAAAAGAACAACAAAATAAAGATGAAGCTGTGGCTTTTTTTTTTTTTAATTTTCATATTAAAACAAACTGCACTGATTTAAGGTTTCTTTCAGTCCACATGAACTGTAGTAGTAGAGTGGGAAGAGTTTTCGCTCAACTAGGAAGTAACCAACACTGAAACCCACAAAACTACACTATCCCTTTCCTTTCAGTTCTTAAATGAGAATCAACATCATCAACCAGGCAATATCAATCAGTGGGTAAAAGCTAGTTTCAGTGATTCTAAATACTGTAGATTCTTTAAACCTTTGTTTATGATTCAAAATTGACAGAGCAGATCTCAGTGTGTACCATGGAGATGCACACAGGTTATCCACTGAGATATTTAATTTTGCATTCCTAACCACCTGGTGTGCACTGTCTGTTCCATCCCACTTTTACTTATTTATTGAAGAACGTTCACAACAAACTATTCTGCAAGGAGCAAGTGAAACCAGACTGTGAGAAGTGCTCTGTCTTTTAATCTTCAGTATCTTTCCCCTACCACTGTCAGTGGAATACAGCTACAAGTATTTCCTTAGGCCCCAGCAAAATCTCCAACAGGCAACACACAGCTTCTGTGCACACCTTGTGTGCTACCCTGTCCTCATTCCAAAGCTAAAGTTACACCTACCTATCTAGTTCCACCACTAACACAAAACAGATCTATGTAACCAACACTGAAGTGCTACGCTTCACACTTTTTTGATGGGAGTATTTTCCCTCAGTATCAAGGATAAAGCTTTAAAAATTATCTTCAAGTACCTCCAAGACTTCCTGCTGTTTTTCTAAGCCAAGGATAACTGAAAACTATATGAATAGTCAAAAAAAAACCAAACCAAAAGTCAATGCCACCACACAAATACTGGCACTAAAGACTCTAAGCAGAGGGATCAAATCAAGTTGTTTAAAACAGCAAAACATCACTTCATTGGAACAATATTTTAAAATATTTTAAAGAGGCAGCACAAACCAAGGAAGTGAAGATCATTAATATACTTTCTAGTTCAAATGAAAACTAGTTTAAATTATTTTCAGATCAACTAATGTAACTATAGAAAAGTTATGAAAAGAATGAGTTATCAAATGATTCATAACTCCTATCCTTTGAAAGTGTGCTATTTCTGGGAATACCATATTTCTAACATGAACTAAGAAGTATGATAGAAACAGAACTCTCATCAGTCAACTCTTTAGTTCTACCTCTAACCACTTGCATGTTTTCCTCACAGCCAAGAGGAACATAATTACTATAGTGCTACACATGTGGAGGAAAACAAAAAAAGTGGAGAGGAAAAAGAAGGGGGGACAGACAAAAGATGGAATAATGGCCATTAGTGCTGACTACACACAGTGAGCAACACTGCAAGGAGAATACTTTGGTTTTTTCAACCTAGAAATAAGATTGAGCTAAAAAGAACTTAATCCTTTAGCCTTCCTTTCCTTCCCAGAACAAAATAAGCCAGAGATGTTTTCATGCTTCCTGTGTTTTCTGCCGTTGTGGAAATGAGTAGCAGTTCCTTTTTAATTAAAGAAGTGAATATACATATCTATCTATCTATTTAATCTAGTCTGGCAGTCACAGATCTTTGGAGTAAAAAGGGACAGTTACACAAACCAGGATGACTGCAGCTGAACTTAATGTCTGGACTGGCATATTTCCATGAGGAATGGAAGGATCTAAGCCTGTTGTTTAAGGTATGCGTTTGAGAGGACTAACAAGTGGGCTATACTTAATTTATGTTCCTAATGTAATAGTTACAGAGGGAGAAGCAAAGACAGAATGTTAACTTCCTGAACAACAGAAAAAACATATTTAATTCCATCACCTATACTGTTAAGCACCTGAAAATTCATTAACATAACGCAGACCCACACATAAGAAAGAAACGCAGCCCAAGTGTAGACACAGCTCCATATGTAGACAAAGAACAGATGCACACTTCATGTCTTCTGCACTTTTCAGTGTGTGCTGATCCACAGGTGTATATAGGTGCAAATAGGACTGAACACAATAAAGTACTTCCCCTTAATCTGCATGTTAACATACACATTATTTCCTTATTTATTAATTAGTCAAAAGAGAAGCTTAAGCTTCACAGCACATACTTTTCTCTTGCTGCTTCATCTGGGATCCCTAAACAAATTTCTCGATCGAACCGCCCAGCTCGCCTCAGCGCGGGGTCCAGAGAGTCAGGTCTGTTAGTTGCTCCAATAACAAGGACCTGGGTAGTGGCAGCCACGTTATTCAAGTCTAAAGGAAGGAAGGAAGGAAGGAAGGAAGTTAGCACTCATGCTCACCGTCTCAACTTTGCTCCGATATCTACGGGACTCTGTTTCTGCAGCACACAATAACACTCAGAACAGCAGAGATAAACTAAACAGCCATACTGAATTGCTGTTCACTCTTATCTGTTCTACCTAGAAATGGCACTTTGCACAATTGAGCAAAAATAAGCATTTCAAATGACATCTGACACATTCTCTCTGGTATGCAGCAGACAGGCTTACATAACATCGTACAGGCCACCGTGAAAATAATGTAGTAAAATCCCCTCAAATTTATTAGAATCTTCTCACCACTGCCCAGGTAAACTGTGTCAAAATACGAAAAATTATTACCACTATCTCCGCCAAAGTAATCACGAGTCACTACTGAAGGAAAGCAGATAGTGAGCCTGACAACCATAAATTTTAGCTTAGTACAGATGTTCCTGAAACTGACCATCCATACAAGTTAGGAACTGAGCAACAATTCTCCGCTCCATGTCCTTCGATGCAACTTCTCTTTTTGGGGTGATCGCATCAATCTCATCAATGAAAAGGACACATGGTGCACTGGACTAGGAACAAGAAATATTAGTAATTACAAAATTAAGCTGACAGTGTATTACAAGAGAAAGAAAGTTTTCAGACCCTCTATTCTGTACATATTACCGTAAGTTTGCTACACAATCAGCTTGACCTGGAACAATTCTTTTATTCTTACTGACTACTCAGAGAGTCACTTGACTATGAAACTGAGCTCAGGCTATGAAACAATTAAGGCATGAAATTCAAAATGTCTCTACATATTGTTTAAAATTTAAGTGTACCTCTGTGTTGACTTATGCTTTTCAGAAATATTCCATTGTGACTGCTTACTTGCTTAAGTCCAAAAAAGAAAACCAGACAAGAAAAATTCAGTTTGTTTTTCTGTTTCTTTTGATAGTAACATTAGAGCTCTGGCATTTCAAAAGCTAACATTACTGACACACGTAATGAAACAAAAGGAGTAGGAGGTGATCATGAAAAATGATCTGCCAACTTCAAGATTACTACAGAGTCTGACATGTTCAAAGAGTAAAGATGAGCAATGAGTAACTTCTACAAGCGTTCTAAAATTCCACCTACTTCAGGTTCATAAAAAGTCAACACCATTATAGAATAATAACTAGTAATAGAAAAGAACAGCGTTTAACTGACATAGGATTTTTACTATTCTCAAAAAGCACTAGTGGTGTAAGGGAATACTAAGGAAAAACACTAGAATCATCTTCAAAAAAGTCCCATATAAAAATACAGTATTTTAAAACGCACGCATTGTGTTATCAGGTAGCAACTGCGCCATCTAGTCGTCATTCACTTTTCTGCTATCTGACACCAGGAAAAAAATGCAACTAAGCTATAAAGATTCCACAGCACTTCCACAAAGTGGAAGTAGGTCTTTTTAACCTGCACAAAAATTTGTACAAAAACTAAGTGGAAAAGCTATATAAGTGAATGTGAGAGACTGTAATAAAGTCGTAAGATTTTAAACATTTCTAATGCAATACTTTTAATTTCTTATAAAATAACTTTTATAGCAATCTCCCCTTAATCCCTATATATACAAAAGATACATAACTTCCAAAAACTCTGGGTGATCACTTAGTTTTATTCTAAACAATATCTTAACAAGGCTTTCTAAAATTAAAATGTAGTATGAACTGAAACATAATAATCTAACAGCTTCACAATCAATATTTTTGTCCTGTTTAGCATTCTCTTTTTTTATAGGAATGTGCTCTAAACACCTATATGCAGTTGTGGCAGGGAGTAGAAAAACGGAATAAATTTGGAAAATCGTAACACTCCCAGAAGTCAGGAAGAGAAAGCTGTCCTCATGAAACAAACATTAGCCACATGCTAAAAAAATAAATAAATCTGCATTTGTTTAAAATTATTTAATCTGTTTCTCTTTGCTTCTTACTAAGTCTGGAAGTTGCATCAAAGCAAGACTTTGACTGTAACATGACTCCTACTCCTGCTGTATTTGTCCCAAACTTCTTACTTTATGCCTAAACCCCCAAAGGCTTAAGTCTCTCACATTCAGTCAAATTCCAAGCTACATGAAACCAGCATAAAAGTCACCTTGAAAACACACAGTGAATTTCTCTGACATCTTTTTTTTACTTTTATATATGAAGCCAAGCAGCTCCAAAAAGGTAATTTATTTCTGTTGCTCTCTTTACATTGATACGATCCTTTGTCAAGACTTCAGAGCAGTGATCTTTGTGCTCTGTGAAAGCACGACAGCACAATGGAATTCGGGTCACAGAAGGGGGAGACACTACGACTTGTGTGCAGCAGTATAAAGATTCACTCACTAATATTCACTCCAATTCAAACTACACAAACAAAGTATGAATCTTTACAAAGAAAAAGACAAACGGGTGTCTCACCACGGCCTGCTCAAACAATTCTCTCAGTTTCTGCTCAGACTCCCCTGACACACCAGACACCATCTCTGTTGCTGCAACTTTCAGCAATGGGAGCTCAAGTTCCTGAAAGAGAGAAGGAACATTGTACAGTATGTCCAGAGGTTAGAAACATCGGCTGTCCCAGAGGACAAATATTTTCCAATACACACGCAAAGATTTCATAATCAAGAGTAAGTCTTGAGTTGCTTTAAAAAAAAAAAAAGAGATGAGTATCATCCTCCAATCTAAAACGAGTCTGAGCCATTTGGCCAAGTGAAGAGAAATGGATACAGAAAACACGTTTCCCTAATTTAGTCCGAGAACAACTGCACTGTCAGATAGCTTTGCACCTTGGCCTCCAACTCAGCCCTTCACAATGCACACAGTTCAGTTCATGCCTGTCTCCCTTCTCAAAAAAAATTGTTTATTTGCATCTGCAAAGCATTGCTTAGCAGGGTGGAAGAGATCCCCACCAGGTTTGGTTCCTTTAGTCTTACTCCAGAAATATCTGAGCAGGATTGTACAATAAGATACCTGCAAAGCTCATGTTCAGGTTTTTTTGCTATTAAAATCAAATAAATAAAATTGTAACTTTGATAGACTGTAGCACAGTAGTGTTACAGATAGTTGCAGCCTATTTTAAGCTCTTTGAATTACATATTTTAAAAAAATAATCCTAATTTTTACAAATCAAGGTCACCAGAGGCACCACCTGGGCCTTGCAGGAGATAATTTGCCTTACACAGCAGTACTTATATCTTACTTAAGAAAAAAAAAAAGTCTTACTTAAGAAAAATTATTTGAGAAGTAGTCATTAAACTTGTCTTTGTTTCTCTCTCCAAATTTAGCACCCTTCCAGGACAAAAATACCCACTGAAGTGTTAAACATCACAGATTCATCCAATGGGTATCTTTTCACAGTAAGGCATTAAAAAGAGAAAAACCCAAATCTTTTTAATTACAACATTTGAAATAACATTTGAAATTTGAATTTGAAACCAATGTTTAAGGAATAAACATCAGTATTTTCTTCCAAAGATAAAATCCACACTACAAAAGTTCATGATTTACATGTGCCCATGTTTAAGTAACAACTATATTAAAGGAAAAGAAATGTCCGTGGCTATTGCTGAAGAGCCCTAAATAACCCCTAGATTTATATTCAAAACAGCACAGCAACCTCATCACACAACAAACTATGAGCAGCAACAATGTTGTACGTCCTGAAATCATTCATTTGACACAGGCAAGGCAATATCCAATTCTGGAATTCAGAAATCACCGTTTTTAACGGATGCCACCCAAAAGAATCAACGTAATGCCTCATAAAAGATGGTAAGGTTGACTGCGGACTTAAAACACTATGGTAAATTTAACCAGAAGTATCTACCATGTACAGCTGCCTCAATATCCATGTCATACTGCTGTCCTGGGAATGTCTCAAAACAACCAAGCCAAACATAAAAGCCTGTCACTATGCCCTTGCTATGTCCCCTCTTCATATATGAGGTCCTATCAAGTACAAATCCAGATGGAATTCAAACAAATGAAGTGAAGAAGAATATAATTTTAGACTAAGATAGGAAGGAGAGAAAAGAGATTAAAAAAAAAAAGATCTAGTCTGTCATGAAGAAAGATTAGGTTCTTTTCCTCTGTAAATATAACTTAGAAAAAACTGCAAATTCAAACCTCTGTAAAGTTCTCTCACCCCAGCAATTGCCTGTGCGAGCAGTGTCTTTCCACATCCTGGTGGTCCATGCAAAAGAAAACCGCGAGGCGGAACCACGCCTAAGTGGTTATAGACTTCAGGGTGACGGACATGAATGAGCATCTTGCATATTTCCTGTTAAAAACAAGAGAGACCTCTGTGTAAATTGCAGAAATTAGTGTTACACTTTGTTAATATTATGGACAGGCCAAAATAAAGCAAATTCTGTTTACTGAGGTAACTTCAGTGACTGCTTTCAGAAAGAATCAAAGGGAAAAACCAAACAAAACGTTGTTGCTGTTGGTATAAGCAGCTACCCTGGGTGCCATGCAGATGAATTCTGCCAGATTTCTTCTTTGTCATTTTTTATGTGACATTTTATTCAGTGCATTCGGCATCCCACAAATTAAATTTTAACTAACCTTTAAAGTTTCATCATTGCCTCCTACATCCTCAAACTTCACTGAAGGGTGGTAAAGCTCTGGTCCCTTTCTTCTAACTGTTACGGAGGAAACGTCATGCAAATTTAGACACGGCATAATAATAGTTGCTAACACCGAACAATAAAAGACTCAGCCTATGCAATTAACCAAGTACGTGGAGTATTATTATTTTTTAGTAGTAGGCACAGGACTGGAATATTTTTTCAGTACAGCAATAAGCCTAAATTTCTTTTCTATACCACAGAAAACACTTATCTGGTAACAGATTCCACAGTCAAATACCATCTCTTTGTTTGGAGCAGCCCCACCCAAAAAACTCACAAACTTCTCACCTTTCCCTTTAAGTAAGATGGAATTAATTTCTCCACCTACATCTGTAAATTCTTCTTTTTTTCTTTTTGTTCTCTTAGCCTTTGTCTTCTTTCTTTCACTTTCCAAGACAGAAAATTCTGTTGATTTCTAGGGCATAAAACCAGAAACATATACACACTATTTCCAAGTCAGTGAATTTCTGCAAATACTTAAAATAAGCATCATAGACATGAATTTTGTTAACTTACGCATGTTACATGAATGAAGACAAGCATGGAAGGTATGCAACACCTTTTTTTTGTAGGAAATCCTTTTTTTAACTCAGGAATCATCTTTTTTGCTGAGCGTACATACTTATACACAAAAGCTCCACAAACAATGCCCCCAAAAAAACCCAAACCAGACACCAGTTATTTGCATATCACTTCAGGGTATTGTATTAACATATTTACTAAAATGGAAACAATTTTTACTACTAGTAAACAGTGAGCAGAATCATCATTATGAGTAGCTGTAAGAAATTATTCAGTGCTGACAACAAGTTAACTGCATGTAAGAAAATGACTAGTACAAGAGAAAATAAATAAGAGCTTCAATTATGAAAGTTGCTTGTTTTTTCTTTTTAGAATATATTATTGCAAACATTTCACAATTTTAGGATTTCCCTTTTATTCAATTTCTCTATATAAGAGGGTGCAATACTACCAGGAATAAAGGGATGATTTATTAAATCGGCCTATTCAGTAAGAATTCTGCATAATTAGAAAGGTAGATATAAATGCAGTTCCCTCCTTCACATAAAAAAAGAGCATCCTGCCAAAATGTCTGCTCAGCCAAACAGTGTAAATGTTTCTAATACATAAATTGAAATCTGTCAATGGCTTTTTTTTCTAAATAAGAAAGAAAACACAACCTGAGGGGAGGAGGGGATCACAAAGGGGGCAGTATACCTTGATGGAGAGCAGGACCTATTTTTTCATTGCTTTATAACCAACGTAGTTTCCTTTCAACTTCCTCAGCACTAGTCCATCCAAAAAACTTTAGCTTTCCCCAGACTTGCTAAGACTTAACCACTGGCTAAGGGAAACTATACGTCGTGGCTACAAGCCACATGCTTCCTGACTAGTTAGGCTGATCACTGGCAAATGCAATATACAACAGCTAAGCCACAACTATGTTTCTCTCCTTATAGGCACTAATCTGGGTCTCTCTGGTACTGAGCACTACATTTGCCTTAAAAAATGTGGAGAAAATTCAGAATTTTTTGACTTCTTACCTCCCATACAAACCAGCTTGAAATGGGTCAGAAGATTCAAAAATCACTTCTGATACAGCAGAACACTGGGCTAAGCCCTTCCTTCTTCAGAAACTAAACTAAAACCAAGTACTTCACTGGGCTTAAGCCAATCTTCCCTTTCTATTTAACATGTTCACCATCTTTAAACACATCATACGTGTTTGTAATAAAAATAATGTATTTTAAAAATCCAGAGACAAAGACAGGCAGACCTTTTGGTATTAGTATCACCCTTCAAAAGCCTGTCAGATTCCATAGGAAATGATATTCATACTCGCTACTTAAATCACACTGGTTTTGTAGAACAGAATACCTCAGAAATTGGTTTCTTTTCATCTCCTTCTCCGTCCTCAGAAAGGTCAATGAAAAAATCTTTTCCACATGGAGTTTTATCAATGAACCAGCCACCTTCAGAGATGCGAGTTTCAGCTCTTGCTCCTGGTGAGAGGGTGCTTGTCTGAGGTGCTGTTCGCACAGGAGGAGGAGTTTCCACTGGTTCATTTTTTGGAGTGGTTGGAACGGAATCGGGATTTGCTTTCTTGTACAAGCTCAGCAGGGAACTGTTCATGTGATTTGTAGACTGCAGATGCAAGTATTTTAAAAGGAACACATACAGGTTATAAACTTGGATTACTTACATTAAGAGGATAACGAAAAGTATTTCATAAATATAATTTAGCATTATCTCTGCTGGAGAGAACAGTCACGCATCTGCCAACCCACTCATCTGCAAATCAAATAACTGCATATAAAACTACACCTGCTGGTGGAAGAGGCAGCAGCCTTTGCAATTTATGTTGAAATAACCCCTGTTAACTGACAGTTGTCTCTTTCAGTAATAGTCAGATACGTCAGTTGCTTCAGTCGTTTCATTTGACAGCCAATTCTTCCAGGCCCCCCAAGTGCCTTCTTCAAAAGTGATTCCCCACCACAGGTTCCTCCTTTTTCTTCAGAAAATTGCCTCCTTTTAGCTCTACAGATTTTCAGAATTTCCAACTCTGACTATATCTCATCTTCATCTCCACTTTTAAACTCTCCAAGTGCGTCACAATTTCATAGCAGAGAACCACATGTTATGCAAATGCAATCATAATAAAACACAACTTACTAGATCTTCTGGATAATCATCAGAATCAGAGCCATCTGTGGCACTTCCTGGAGTCCTTTCCATAGAAGGAAGACAAAAACTATTCATGTATCAGAGCACAACCACAAGAGAGACACACAGAAAACAAAATAAACACAATCTCCACAATGTGGTTTCCCACAGCCATGATATGTAGCCTAAGACTAGAGAAAACTTTCTGACTCACAAGCTCTAAATTTACTACTACAAAGAGTTAAAAAATGCATCCTTTTCATGTCTGTGGTCACCTTGGCAACCCAGCTGAAAGACAGTCTTAAAAAAAATTTATGTAGGATCAATCTGATTCAGGTTGGCAAGAGATCACACAATCACCAGCGGAAGCAGGACCAAACCACAGCTGAGCTGGACTAGTCCTTCTGACATCGATGTCCTAATTGTCCCGTGAGACCCTTAATGTCTGTCACCGGTCAGAGACACCAGAAAGAGCCATGAGACTGTGGACGGGGTTAGGTGTCAGGAAACCTCAATTCCTATCTCACATCCCGTGATGATTTACTCTGAAGAGCCTGTCTTGCAGTCTTCTCTCTCAGATTCAGATATCTCTCAAATCGAAGAACGATTAAGAACAAAATAAAGGGACTGAATTGCATGACAACTGCAGTCTTATGCAGAAAACTATGAAGGACGCTCCAAGGATATCACCCGGTTCAGGGCTGTATGTTCCCCGTAACAGAGAAATCATGATTGGCTCCAGTATCTGCTTATTTTCAGGGGAAAAAAAACGTCCTTCATTAACTCCAGGTAGCTTCTGATGAAGATTAGCACATGGGACATCAAAGATCTACCTGTAAGCTCAAAACTATTAAAATTTAATAAAGAAAGAAAATTCTATAAATAAATTATAATATTAATGGCATTATTAAAGTAACCTCATAGTAAAAATTCTTCTTACTCATTTTTCTCTTGCTGTCTCGCTCTTTTTGCCACATGTTTAGCTTCTAAAACCGCTAAATCTTCACGTTCTTTTTCATTACTGATTATTCCAAACACTGAAAGAAAAAGCTCAAATGTGTTAAGAAAACAGCCAAAGCATAATAAAAAAAAATTGGTGTCTCAAACATAATGTCGACAGAATTACCTTTTTCAACTTGTATTCTAAAAGCGTTTCTTTTTCTTCGTCCATATTCTGCACTGAAAGAAAACAAAATAAACAGGTGACACCAACTGCTTTTTCCCTCAACATATTGTCACTCTCAGTGGAAAAAAATACATTGGAGTTATATCTGAGCTTCTACCAAGTTCTTATTAAAAAACTACCACATGAAAATGTGGCTGTTGTTTCTTAAGCCTAGAATAGCTCAATCACTGGGTTGAAACAAAACTACTAAACTAGACTGGTCTCTAAAGGGATGTTTAGTAAAAATTATTGTCATCCTCTTTACCTGTACATATAAAGCAGCAGCAATTTACAAATGAACACACTGGATTCCATTTTGCAACCGCTTTTTAGATTTTCATTCAAACGAGAACATATGGGCATAGGACTATGGTCTAGAAAGGACAGTCCAGCAAGGAATAACTATGCTAATTAGTAATGGTCACTATGAGAAAATCCAACACAATGAGCGTCCTTAAATGTAAACAAAAATCATCAACCGTTTACTTTGATTTACTGAGGGTGTATTTTACTTTTTTGCTTTGACACAATAGCTGACAAAGGAAAAATAAAACAAAACCCCAAGGCCTGTAAGCATCGTAGGCAAGGATTTTGGCTACCTTTCTCTGACAAGGCACAAATAAATACAACATGCAAACACAAAATACTATACTTCTGCATCTTATTAATCCCTGCATTCATCAATGATTTGCTGGAACACAACCTCACTCCCCACCCAGAAAAATGTAACAGCTTAAAAATAATTAGGCAAGACTGACTGTCCTGCTGAGCACTGAGCAAGATCTAATGTCTTACTGAATCCTGTATCTCCTCCACCTGCCTGCCCTCAAATGTTGTTTTCCCTCATATTTTAAGGATCAACATGCTGTAATGCACCTGTAGCTGTTTAATTAAAAAAAACCAAACACACCAAAACAAATGAACAAACAAAACACAACAAAAAAACCACAATCCATAACTAGATCTTGCAATACCAGCGCGTTAGTAAAATATAGGTTACTAGATATACTGGTAGAGGAAAACATCGGAGTGAAAATCATCTTATGGTTTCACAGAATCATGGAATTGCCTAGATTGGAAAAGAACTTTAAGATCATCTAGTCCAAAAATGAACCTAAAACTGACAAGTCCTCGACTAAACCATATCCCTAAGTGCTGTGTCTACCTGACGGGAACTCCACCACTGCCCCAGGGCAAACTGTTTCAATCAAGCTCAACAGCTGGTAACGAAGTTAACATAATGAAAATTAAAATGGTGATTAAAAATACAAAATAACAAAAAAATACATTCCATATTTTTAATGTAGAATATAAGAACAGAAGTCTTTGCTCACCTGTAGGTTTTCTGCAAATCAGATGCTAGAATTCCAATGTCAACGTACTGGCCACATTTACTACTAGCAAGATACTGAAATGAAGAATTTTAAGCAGTTAATAAAATCTTTGTCAATCACTTCACCTGAAGAGCTAGAGCAAACATGTCTATTTCAAAATCTACTCCTCTTAGAAGTTAAAAGGAAAACCAGAAACAGCTTTGAACAGCCTTGGAACACCCTAGACAGTACTCCCCAATGAAGCGAGAAATGCCTTATAAGACACAGATAACTAGCTAGCTACACCTCCCAGGACAAAAAGCAGCGTATTGCATTTTGGTGCTTCAGTGACTTCTGCTGGTGCAACTCCACTGTTTTTACTTAGTAACAAAGATCAACCCTTCTAAAGTTCTTGGCTTCTCTCAGTTAACCTTTTGGTTTAGATCTCCTGCCTTAAAAATGAAACAATCTTCATCAATTAGTAGGGATACTGTCATAATAAGACCCTTTATCTTTGCCAGATGTTTCAAAGAATATTATAGAAAAGTACATAAAAGAAAGTGAATTCTATCAAGCCTTTTTGTTTTTCCTGACAGCAGCTAATCTGACGCATTTTTAAACCACAAATATGAAAGTGGGGGAAAATGTATTAAATTTTGGGTACAACTGAACTTCACTTGCTTTCTTCTCCCACTCTCCAAATTAGGAAAGAGAAGGAGTTTCAGTACTGTAATGGCGGATTCATAGAATCATAGAATGGCCTAGGCAGGAAGGGACCTTAGAGATCATTTAATCCAAGCTCCCTGTCATGGGCAGGGACACCGCTCAACTAGATCAGGCAACACATGGGGATCGAGCAGGAATCAAACCCGTGGCCTCAGTGTTTTCAGCACCGCGCTCAACCGACTGAGCTAACTGGCCCCCTCCTTCTTAAAAAAAGAAAAAGAAGACAATCTCCCCATGGTATAAAAAATGTCACAGCAGGGAGAATTGCAAAATCTCACTTAAATTAGTATCTCTATTTAAAACAATCCAATTCCTTAAAATTGAATAGCAATTTTTTTTTTTTTAATGCTCTGCTTCCCATCACCCATTGGCTGCTATTGACCTGCAGAAAACACTAAGTCTACCACAAATCCAGCTGGCTCTTTCATTTCAGAACAGCAAAGACATAGTTACTGTGATCTTGTAAATGAAAATAATCAAGCTCCCTCAAGCAGCCTTTCACATTTTAAGGAGACAGAAGCAGGGTACAGTTACACACAGACACAGGAAAATGGGTGATTAATTAGTGAAGTCACCATAAATATTCGTGAAATCTAACACACCACCGCAAGGAATTGCTCTCCTCCCTGCTTTCCACACCTGTATTACTGAATGAATCACATTTTCCCCCCTTTCTTTGCTCATTTAATTCAATCAGCCTACATGCTTCCAAACGCAAACACTTCCAATTCGCCTGTGCCTACCCAGCGTGCGGGCTGGTTCGCTGGAATCACAGAATGTCAGGGGTTGGAAGGGACCTCCAAAGATCATCTAGTCCAACCCCCCTGCCAGAGCAGGATCACCTACAGTAGGTCACACAGGAACGCGTCCAGGCGGGTTTTGAATGTCTCCAGAGAAGGAGACTCCACAACCTCCCTGGGCAGCCTGTGCCAGTGCTCTGCCACCCTCACAGGGAAAAGGTTTTTCCTCATGTTTGTGAGGAACCTCCTGTGCTGCTGTTCCAAGAGGGGCCAGCTTCGTAACCAGAAGTACTGATGAGGATGGAAGAAAGTAACAAATCAGAAAGGAAAAATAAAAACGAAACAGAAAAAGAGAAAAAAATAAGAGACCTTTTCAAAGCCCTTCCCAGAGCCCATGTGAAGCCCTGAGGGACCAGCCCGCGTTTCGGCGCTCGC